TGTTCAAACTTTTGGTTCAACCAGTAATAGCCCAGGTCACGTAAGGTGTATGCGCGGACGTCATGTTGTTTATGGACTCCGCGGACGTCAAAAACGCGCTCAACCGATTTCATCCTCGGGCATCATACAACCGGTTTTCATGAGAACCGTCTGATCGAGTAGATCACAGCCGTTGGTCGTCTCRCAGTGAACTATAAATAGGGGGCCGAAGGACCCCTCTTCTTCGCCAAAGAATTCTGTGACTTGAGCTCTCCCGAGGTCGCGTCGGAGTCTTTCAGCTCGCTCTTTCTTTGTAGTCCGAGGTTGTTCTTCTTTTGGTGAGTTCATCTTTTCCTTAGTTTGTTCTCCTTTGTTTTTTAATCATGTCTAGCTCTAGCATAGATAGGCTCTTAGGTGACTCTAGTGAGGGTGCCGAGGTGCAGTCCGCGGCCCCTGCTGGGGAGGTCAGCTCGTCGCTGGGCGACTCCCCTCTTCGGTCTTTAGAGGAAACTTTTGTGCCTGAAGTTGGGTCATGTCGACCCGTAGAGCCTGAGGTCGGGAAGAGGGACCGACCTCTAGAATGGAGGTCCCATCTTCTTCCCAAGGTCAGGATCCGGATGACTTCGGTCCTTCTACCTTGACCTCGGATAGGTTAATGTACTTAGTAGCTCGCTATCGTCTTCCCGATATCTTAGTCTTTTGTGTTCCTCTAGGTYAGTATCCATGGGCTCACAATCACCATGAGCTCATGGTTTTTGAGGAGCAACTCGCTGTCGGGCTGCGCTTCCCGCTCCACCCCTTCATCATAGAGATAGTCAAGATTTTTCACATCACCATCGACCAACTACACCCGAACTCCATCCGAAACATAGTAGGTACCATATCCCTATTCCACACATACAACCGACCTCTGTCCTTAGACGTCTTTAGTTCAATCTGTTCGATTAAAAAGAATTCCGCTTGTCTGCACGGGGACGTCATACAAAGCTACTACATCTCCCCTCGGCCCGGGTTTAAAATTCTGTTCGGTAGCCCGAACAAGGTTCTGACCTGGAAGATGAGGTATTTCATTGTTCGAAATCCTGAGGAATGGTCTTTTCCAACTCACTGGAGGGTGGCTATCAAGGATCCCRGGGTGAGCTTAGATGCGGAGACTAGGGCAGTTATCAACTCTTGGAGGGACCTCGGCCTGGAGATGAAAGATTTCTTGGCCGAGGAGAAGCTTGTGCGAGTTGGACTAAGCCCTCCTGGTAGGTATCCACCTCGGTCTTTACTTTAAGGTTTTCTTTAGTTTGCGGGTAACCTTTTCTTCTACTCTTGCAGTTACCATGCTGGAGGCCAATGCCAAGAACCTTCTCAAGAGTTTTCAGAGAGGGAAGAAGAGGAAGGCATCGAAGAAGCCTCACCAGGAGGCCGATCCTTCTGCCCCCGCCCCATCCGAAGTCTTTGCTGCGGAGCTGATCTCAGCCGATCTCCCTGAGGAGGAGGTCCGCCCTCAACCCCTCGTAGTGGACCTGGACGAAGACCAGAAGGAAGGCGCGTAGCCTCATGAGCCGGAGAGCACTTCTGTACCCAACCAGGAAGGCGTTCAGCCTCATGAGCCGGAGAGCGCTTCCGCACCCGAGCCCGAGTCCCCCAAAGAAAGCATAACGACCCCTCGGCTCAGACTACTCAAGAGCAAGAATGTCGTTTTTCCTACCGAGGTCGCAGAATGGGCTAACAAGCCTACAAGCCAGCTCGGAGGTCGGGCTGCCAGCTACT